GCAGGTCAGAAATGTGGTTCTTCATTTAGTGTTCCAGCACACAGGGTCATTGACAACAGGAGGCCTTTCATATCACCAGTATTTAACCAATCAACTGTTGATCAACCTCATTATTCCCATTTTCCAAGTACATTTGCAGTGGAAAGAGCAGGGGTTGACTCTCTATCAAATGAAAATTCTACCCCATTTCCGAAGTCACAGCAGTCCATTTCCCATAACTCTTGTGGCACTGGAAGTAGAGTGGAATCTACTGCCTCAGATGTTTCTTTTTCTCCATGGATCCATTCAAGTCCGTTTGCACCTTTTAAACCAGCTTCCAGTTCTTCCACTACCTCCACATTTTATCCATTAAAGAACTCATGGTCTTTTTCAACATCTGCCCCTCTATCTCCACATTCAGTCTCACCTTCCACATACCCTTTGTTAGCAAAACCATCAGGCCCTGATTTTGATCTAAAGAGATCTTTTTCTCCCACTTCTCAGGAGTTGCTCCACAATCCACATTATGCTTGAACTGCCTAAAGCAGTCACAACCTACACCACCGGGACTTTGTAATGTTTCAAGTACTCCACTTGCTGCGTGTCAAATACTGCAAGTGTTTCTGAACATATATGCAATTAGATCTCTTTTATATATCTCTGCTATTTGCTTTCTGTCAAAAATAATAGATAAATAGTATAAAAGGCACCTTGTGGTCTATAAAATCAGTGAAGCACTTTTATTGTGGTGTTGTACATCTAAGTTGTTCCTACTCTTCCAGCCTCTGTTCTTTGGTCCTCTTCAGCCAGAAATGACCCCTAAAGTTGGAGCAACACTTCCAAAAATCAACACTTCTCACCCGTCAACAGGTACACTTAGTGCAGTATTTCTTGCTCTTTTTAAAGTTGATAGTATGTTGGATTGTAATCCATGTAATTAATCCTCCTGGCTAGTTGCTCAGAAATTGAACAAGGATTTGGTCAGCAGCACCCGAATCTCAGTTGAGCACCCAAGTTTGGAAACATCCATCCAAGTTTGGAATTTCTAGTTCACCTGTAAGTTTCACATTTCTGAACAAGTTATTATAATTGATGTTGCTCCTGGATGTGTTCATTGGTTTCAAACCAAGTATCATACTCACTAGAAGTTACATGATGTAGGGGATGCCTCATTACTATTGCTATAATGTTATGCACCTTGAAAGACAGATATATTTATTACCTTTATTATGTTGTAATTATTGATGTTTTCCTATCAAGTTAGATGTAATTGCGTCTAGTTGCTCTGAACTTTGGCTTTATATTTCTTTGGATTTACTGCATCAAGTAGGTTTATATAAATTAATTTCAGTATTTCTCCAATAAGATATAAACAACAATATAGTTGTCCAAGTTCCAAACAAACTCTTCAAAGTATCAGGCAAGATTATGTTTTTATAGCTTCACTATGATTGTTAAACTCATACTGTTTATGTTTAACGTGAAAACAAAAGTTGTAGGCTATTACGAAAATTTCTACTGTTGTTGGTTGCAGGTTTCTAACAACCCTGGTCCAGTCAGACGAAGATCCTCGTTGATAATTCAGCATTCATCTCTAAGTCAGAGTCAGCATATGTTGCCAAAGAAATACAAACCTACAAGTGATAAATCAAAGGTGAGAAGTTTGATTTTATGTGAGACTTGTTTAGTAGTTCGTGGCATGCTTTGGTTGATGGACCAAAAGTTTAAGTTACATAAGATAAACACAGGTTATATGCAAAGATTGCAAGTATGGGTATCCTTTTGGTGAAAAAATACAGGACAAGTCCATATTTTTCTCTAATCCAAGTAAAACACTGGAAAATTCAACAGGACTATATTTGTTTATGTAGGTCCTCTTTTTCTTGGATAAAGAAAACGCCTATGGCGTACTAAGGACAGAAGTCATCATCATTCCAAGGGAAACTCCAAGGGACTGGGTTCTTCCTACCGCTGAAGAATTTCCACTGGGGGCTGATTAATCTATTGGACAGTAAGCTTTCTTTTTTAATGAACTTATGCATGCATACCTTCCTTTCGTTGATTGGTTCAGCTGGATTCTAATAGATGCATAAGTCAATTATCATAGTTAGGGAATGGGAATGTCACATGTAATGTTTTAGTGGATTACTTAATATCTAGTACTCCTACCATTTTATGTCTGCTCCATTAAGATCCCATTTCCTTAAACTCATAGTCTGGAATCTCTAATAGTTCAAATTTAAACCAAGTAACTTCACAGAATTTGTTATCTATTTGAGTATATCTAAGGATATACAAGTTGACTTGCAATTGAATTGCATAATTCCCTTTTCTGTTTCAGATGTAGGGATGCATGACGGAGACAAAGTTGGTGATAAGCCCAAGTTATAGCCTGGAGAGATGCATTCTGATAATTGTGACGATGATAAGGATGTGGATGGCATTATGCCAAAGCTCCAACGTGCTGACTACTACACAGTTCTTCCTATGGAGGAGTTGTTATCAAAGGAGAAGGAAGAAGTGCACACAGATGGGTTCTGCAGTTGGGATGTCACATTTTATCTGTTCAAACAAGTGAAAATTAAAGATCTTTAACATGTCTGCCTCCAACCTCCTCTAAAAGGTTTTGTCATTAGGAGTAGATAGCTGCTATTCTTTTACAGTCATCTCCTCTGAAGTTAGATTGCTGGGTGAATACCCAATATGTGAGTTTGAGGCATGGAATCACTGTAATGAACTGCTGATTATAGGGTAATATAAATGAATCCTGTTAGTTGCCGGTTTGCCGCAAGGAAACGTGATGTAAAGGTTAGGCTCGCGTTATGAGTTCAAACCCTGCTGCAGACAAACAACAAGGTATTTAAGTGGAAAGGTAGAGGGCAGATCCATATCCACTGAGTTTCAAATCATGAGCCACTGACCCTCAGGATTTCTAGGTTATCAAAATAAAAAGGTGTCCTGCTAGGCAACAATCTTCATCAAGAAAAGGATACAAAAACATCACCATTAAAAAATTGAATCCTGTTTAGATCCTTTTGACTTGCATGCCATTACTATTGAGGTTCTTTCAACTTACCAAAAAGGAGGTATTGGTTTCTTCGTTGTGTTGTTTCTGTAAGGAAGCCTCTCTCCGTTTGATGCTTTGCCCGAGATATGTTTTTACCACCACTGATGCAATAAACTATTCATCTCTGACTTTTGCAGGGGTTGCTGGTTAAAATTCTGGTCTCTTTGGGAGTTATCAAATCTCACCATTTTTGGTTGGATGTGGAGCACCTTCAGGAAGCCATTCAGAATGTTTTAATTTGTGTGGAGATGGTTTTCTTTTCTGTTATGCAGCAATATGCATACCATGTGGTTCCTTACAACGGCTATGTCGAAGCAAAGTTGAAACTGAAAAAGGATGACTAAGTTGATGCGCAAGACATTGGTGTGAATAGGCAATTTTCCTGTGATCTTGCATTTACCACCAGTAACAGTGTGTAATGCAAGTTTTTGGGCCTGTTGATACGGATCAGAGAGGTCTTAAGATAACTAATTTCCGTTTGTTAGTTAGCGAAGAAGATAAAATTTCTTTCATTTTCTCTGACAACCAATTTTTACTCTTTTGTGGTTGGACCTCTTGTAGTTGCATCAGTAATTTTTCTTCATGAGAGGCTGGTGTCCCTGCCGGCACCTGCAACAAGCTTGATTGTGACTTTGTAAGTAAACATTTTCTGAATATTCATTGGAGTAGGAGTAGGAGTGGAGTGTAAAATGACTGCTCCCCATCAGGGACAAAAGGCTTCATGTTTCAAGGTGAAAGGGAGTTTTGTTTAGTGCATTGATGATGTTAAAAGCTTCGCATAATAGGCATGTGCTCTCATTGGTGGAGGACGTTATGCAGAGAAAGTAGCTGTACCTACTGGACAAGTTCTTCCTATTCCATCAAGTGTATCTTTACAATCCTGAATTGGCATATACACTGTTTGGTCGACCATTTTCATGATGAGCAAGCTAAGCTTTCCTTGGGTGAAATGTTTCTGGTGATTAGATAGACCATAGCTATTCTTTAATACAATTTGTTGTTTAGCAGTAGTTCCTTTTTCTTTTATCTATGCAGATTATCAGCCATTTAGTCAATTGGCACAATCGTTTGGGTAGTATCTTCACAATTGATTCTTTATATCCCTGATCCCCATGGACTAAGATCAAGCATGTGAAATGACTAATAACTACATGTGTTAATTACTTTCAGATACATGGAGGCTCTAGTGGAAGTGATACCTTTGCCATTCAAATGGCGAAGTGCCTTGGGGTCAAAGTTTCATCACAGCAGGTTCATGATGATATCTTATCTCATTATGAAAAATCATTCGGCTAACTATGTCAAATCTTGTTAACCAGGAAGTGAGGAAAAACTTGCTGCATGCAAAGAACTCGGGACCGATGTCAAATCTTGTTAAGCTTGATATGTGAACTGATCTGCCAAATACTCAAACAAGAATGCCCTTAGTCAACTTGCACATGCCTCCCGACTAGTTCGATGAGGGGCAGAGAGTATTCATATAGTTGCACATGCCAATGGATGACTTCTAAGGTCTAGTGTTCACTTTGGCTAATAATGAATTAGCTAGATTCAGTTGGTTAATTCTGTGCGAAGCAATAGTAGTTCTCAATTGCAGCTGCAATTCTATGGATAGGCACAAGAAACGAAGCAATCTAATTACCCTGATATCCCCTAACTTCTCTTTCTGCTGCACTATTTTGGTTACACAAATTGCTTTTACTTCAATGAAGTTTATATAAAGCAAGTTTCTCTCTTTTAATTAGAGTGTTCAATTTGGTTGAAATTGTTTTTTAAAAGAAAAAAGCATCTTCTACGAAATGGGTAAATAAATACGTGATGACTTCATTGCTGATGAAAATCGTTTTTTCTACTTTGCCAATGCTATAAATATCCACCGACAGTCTTGTCTATCTTTAATTCATACCCACTTTAAAATTAAAAGGCATCTATATTTATATATCTATAGAGAGAGAAAATAATGGAGAAGAAGAAAATGAATGCAGTGGCAGCCATGGCAATTGTGTTGATGATCCTTCTATCTTCCAACACCGACACCGTCCGCGTTGCTGCTCAAGGCGTCAATTGCTATGACTCTTGTAACACCGCCTGTGTTGGTCTCCCATGTACTATGCCTTCATTTCTCCCTTTTATAACTATACCATCAATCGAATCGTTATTGGTTAAAGCAGAATTATTCATATCTCAAAACTAGCATAATTTTATAGTACTATATTCTTTTTTTTCAGCGAGAGAGTACCAACGTTGTGATGAAAAGTGTCGGATTAGGTGTGGACCAGGTAATTCGTTTTTTTTTTTGTTTTTGTTTTCCTTTTCCATTTCTCAACAATTATTTTTGCAACATAATCGAAGTCAATTTTAATTTTTTTAATCAAGCAGCTTAAATTCGAAATTTAACTATTGTTTTTTCATTTTGCAGATGGCAAAATTGATAGTACAAACCTCGGTTGAAAGTGCTGAAAAGTATCGAGGCTATGATATATTGTAGCGGAATTCCACAATAATAATTGTATCTTTGATAATAATTTCCTCATAGTTGGGAAAATAAACGTAACCTTTTCGTGTATGTTTAATTACTATTATGATTTTTTTTCCACTATAATAGATGATGATGGTGAAACTATTTCAGAATTATATTTGTCAATTATAGACCAAAGTATATATAGAGACGTTTTAGAATTTTTGAGACCCTACTTAAAAATCGTGACCGACCTAATCTTTAGATCTTATCTTATTCATTCAATAATTATTGAGAGAAACCTCTTTTCTTTTTCTATCCACACACGTCTGTGTATTTAACTAGCTTTAGCATTTGTATTTAAAAATTATTTAAATACAGTCTATTCAAATGGACTCTGATTTTTTTCTTCTTTTTTTTTCGCATGGTAATTATTCCTTTATAAATATCTCAATTTTACTCGTGCTTCTTAAGTCCTAACAAAGAGGATTTTGTATTTAAAGGAAGGACTTGAACCTAAAATTTCTGATCAAATAGAAAAGAGTACTTATCACTCCATTAAAAAAAATCTTTAAAATTTGTCCAATTTTATAGACGTGTACAGAAGCAACATAAAATGAGCTTGCGTGAAGATGTTAAAAGGTCTAGGGACTTGGAATGAAAAAAGGCCAAAATACAGCTAATCCAAGTTTGATTGTGAAAGATCCACTTGTTGAATTACATATTTGTAACATGGTGTTGTTGGTGTCAAAAACAAAAGAGAGTATAAGTTTGGTATTCAAAATTAGTCTTATCGCCACTTGTCCCCTACAGTACCAGTAGAAGTGATTAGCAGGGGCGGCTCAACGTACTTGGAGACCTAAAGTGAAATTTAACTTAAAGGCCTAAAATCTTTTAGCTGAGGCAATTATTATATAAATTGTTAACATTATTTTATAAGTAATAAGTTGACAAAACTGCTTATAAATTTATTTATTTTATTTAAAAGCACATAAAATAAATCAATCTAAACAGGCTGTAATTCGCTTTATCCAACAGATGATTTTTACTATTGATTCATATTTTTAATAGAGCTCTAATTTACATAGAGTATAAAAGGGGTCTAGAAAATTACAACGCGAGAGTTAGTGAAGAGAGTGTAAGAAGACAAAACAACATTTTTCTTAATTTCTTCTATTTGATTGAGGTTAAGGAGAATAAAATAATATATATATATATATTAAATAATTAATTTTTTCTATAAAAAAAATTAATTTGAGGCCCCCTAAAATTGGGGGACTAAGGCATATGCCTAATTTTAATAAGCATTGAGCCGGCACTGGTGATTAGAAGGAGCTTTATAAATACATCTGTCTGCCGACAGTCATCACAAACATAGAAGAAGAAGAAGAAGAAAATGAATGCAGTGGCAGCTATGGCTATGGTGTTGATGATCCTTTTATCGGCCAACATGGGCATAGTCGGTGTTGCTGCTCAAGGCGTCAATTGCTATGATAACTGCAACACCGGATGCGCCGGTCTCCCATGTATGTCTATTAATAGTAGAAATTTTGCATCTTTGACTTCCGTATCACTTTGCTACTTATAATTTCTGTTATTCAATCAGAAACTTATATTTAATTTTACAATGGTAGTATCTATTTTCTATAACTGCTTTAATTTCCTTGTGAATTATTTAATGAAAACAAAAAGGGGAATCAGTGTTTTACTATATAAGAAGAGTGAATAAAATTCACTCTTCTTTCGACACGTGGCACCATGGCCCACCTACTTTTATTTTATTTAAATCATATATCATGTATATTACTATATATAATAAAAATAAATAAATCATATATCATATATATTACTATATATAATAGTATATATATCTATAATATATAAATATAAGAAGAGTGAATAAATTCACTCTTCTTTCGATACGTGATACCAAGATGGCCCACCTACTTTTATATTTGGTTTTTTAAGATGGCCCACCTATCACAAACATGGCCCACCTACTTTTATACACTCCTCTTTCATTATATTTTAATTTTTTCCTTTTTAAATCGACACGTGGCACCATGGCCCACCTACTTTTAAAATAAATAAATCATATATCATATATATTACTATATATAATAATGTATATATATATATATATAAATATTACTATATAAGAAGAGTGAATAAAATTCACTCTTCTTTCGACACGTGGCACCATGGCCCACCTACTTTTATTTTATTTAAATCATATATCATATATTTTTTTACTATATAAGAAGAGTGAATAAAATTCACTCTTCTTTCGACACGTGGCACCAAGATGGCCCACCTACTTTTATATTTGGTTTTTGAAGATGGCCCACCTATCACAAATATGGCCCACCTACTTTTATACACTCCTCTTTCATTATATTTTAATTTTTTCCTTTTTAAATAGTACTAAAAAATAAATTTAAAATATTACAAATTCGATTAACTCTCAAAATTTTACGCGAATTGTATAATTAAGACGAAGGGAATAACATATATTATTTGAAAAATTACATTAAGAATACCATAAACCACAATAGTTAACAACTTACAATATTTGAAAAACATATTAACTCTCAAAATTTCACATGTGTCACATAAATTGGGACAAATGGAGTAACATATATTATTTGAAATTACGTTAAGAATATTATTAATCACAACTTAAAGTATTTAAAAATACATAACATATATTATTTGAAAATAATGTAAAAAATATTATAAATCATAATAATTAACAATTTAACGGATATTGTGCCCGTGCTTCCATTTAGAAGTGAGAATGTTTAGGAGCTTAGGGTTAGTCAGTCAATTGACCGATTTGCCCTTCTTCTTCAACTTCCTCTATTTACTACAAAAATAGTACTAAAAATCAATTTAAAATATTAAAATTTTGGTTAATTCTTGAAATTTCACATGTATTGCATAATATAATAGAGTGAGTAACATATATTATTTGAAAATTATATAAATAGTACTAAAATATAGTTTAAAATAGTACTAAGAATTTGATTAACTCTCGAAATTTCATATGTACTGCGTAATTGAGATTGAGTGAGAAATATATATTATTTGAAAAATAGAATAAATATGTGATATTATTAGAAAGAGCTTTAATATATATTTTAAAAATTATTTTGTCTTCCGTATATGATTTTCTGCATATATGTGGAGTTTTAAAGTTTTTAACATTTTAATATAGAAATATGATTATTTGAAAATTTTAGTACTTTCTTCATTTAAATTTTTCCTTGTTTTTCTTTTAATTTGTTCTAGATTTAAAAATTACATAAAAAGTACTTAAAATCACAATGTAATAATATAAGATATTAAAAAAACATAATTAAAAATCATAAAAGAAATTTTATTGACTCTTTAATTCCATATTGAAACATAAGAAGTTTGTTTGAAAATAACATAAAAAGTAACGTAAATTAAAGAAAAATAACAACTAAAAATATTTAAGAATCACATACGAAATTTAGTTGACTTTCGTAAAAGTACCTACGTCACATAAAATGGAACAGAAAGAGTAATATATATTATTTGAAAATGATATAAGAAGTGCTATAAATCACAATAAATTAACAACTTCAAAATATATTTAACAAAATCACATACAAAAAATTATATAACTCTCCAAATTTCATCGGTGTCACATAAATTGAAACAAAGAACTACTCCCAATTTATGTTATTTACTTTCCTTTTTAGTCAGTCCCAAAAGAATGTCACATTTCTATATTAAGTAACAATTTGATTATAAAATATTTATTTTACCCTTAATAAAATAATTTACAGTCATACAAATTTATATCATTCATTTTGGACCACAAATTTTAAAAGTCTTCATTTCTTTTTTAAACTCCGTGGCGAATCAAACTACCTCACATAAAATGAGACGGAGGAAGTAATATACATTGGGCCCGCGCTGGCGCGGGAACCTAATAACTAGTATAACATAATTAAGAATATGTTAATTTTTCAGCCAAGGAGTATCTGAAATGTGATAAGAAGTGCCACAAAAGGTGTGGAGATGGTACGTACGGAATTCTCTTTTATTAATCATGATATGACCGAAATATTAAAAATGTATATATTAATAATCTATATATTATATATAGATATGTATAATATATTTAATAAATGTACAAAATCTATATATTTATTGGCTATGAACCAAAAGCCATTATAAGAAAAATGTGAATTACATGGGAATTATTATGAAAATCTGTAGAAAACTTATTTTTCTGCAAATTTTTAAATTAATCCCCAGAAAAATTCTCATATAATTTACACTTTTCTTGTAGTCATCGAATTATAACCATCCCAATTTTTAATCGTGCTGCTTAAATTTGAAGTTAACTTTATTCTTCATTTTGTAGATGACAAAATTGATGGGAACATTGGTTGAAACTTGAAAGTGCTGAAATTTACTAGCAAGCTATGGAGGCTATTATTGTAGGGAGTTCCATAATTATAGTTGTCTCTTCGATAATATTTATTTGGAAAAATAAACGTTACTTATACGTGTATGTTTTTAATACTATGACTTTTTGCTGTAAGATGCATTGTATGTTTGATGAAACTATGTACTACTATTTGAAATTATAATTGCCAGTTCAATAAGCAAAGCTAGTCGAGTCAGAGTCAAATTTGCCAACGCTATAAATAACTCAAATCGTTCCTTCTCATGTTATTTTCATTACTTTCTCTCTTTACCATCTTTTGTTATCCACTATATTATTTTGGAATATCTGGCAGCAGCAGCAATATTTGTTCAGTTTATAAAATTAATGAATAATTTATTATTTTGTGTCTTACCTTTTATTATTGAATACTATTCATTTTTTTAATTTTTTATATGACTTATATTTAGTAAAGGTGATTTGATAAAATTATACTTATCATTTATTGTTTCTTAATTCATCTACCAAATCAATAGTGAACAACTATTGTTGAATAGAAGAAGTACCAATAAACTAGATAGAAAATTATTATAATTTTTATCTTCATTTTAATTTATTTATCTTATTTTTTTAATTGATTTTAAAAAAAAATATTATTTTTTTTACAACTCTTTAATTCTATTTTTTTTTAACTTCCCTTTGATGTGTTTAGTACTTATACTATACTAAATATGTGGTAGAACTTCTGAATCTTTTTACACTACTAAATAAGTTATTGTACTTGTGAAACGTTTTACTAAGTTATAAATCAAACAAATCAATTAAACGTTTGGTATTCCAAATTAGTCCTATCCTATTGAAAATTGATGAATATTCCTCCGCCACATGTCCCCTGTACGGCACTAATAATAGTGTTACACCGAGCAACATAAATATATCTACCGACAGTCCTCTCTTTTTATACATAGAAGAAGGAAAAAAAATACTTAATGGAGAAGAAGAAAATGAATGCAGTGGCTATGGTGTTCATCATCCTTTTATCGGCGAACATGAACACGATCGGTGTTGCTGCTCAAGGTGTCAATTGCTATGATAACTGCAACACCGGCTGCGCCGGTCTCTCATGTATGTCTATTATATACTTTTATTCATCGAAACTTAGGTATATTAAATTAATATAACTATGGAATCAGAAATGGATTCAAGAGTAGTAATATTTGACTTCCGTGTCACTTTACTAGAATTTTTGTCATCCAAAAGCTTATACGGCAAGAATTTGTTAATATTTCAGCAAAGGAGTACCTGATTTGTGATAACAAGTGCCACGAAAGGTGCGGAGATGGTAATTCTCTTTTTCTTTTTTCTCTTTTCAAAAGTTATTATGTATATTACTCTAATATACTAGTTCCTCCGTCCCATTTTATATGAGGAAGTTTGATTCGGCACGGAGTTTAAGAAAGAAAGGAAATTTTTAAAACTTGTGATTCAAAATGAATGATAGAAATTTGTGTGGCTTGTAAATAATTTCATTAAGGATAAAATAAATATTTTATAGTTAAATTGTTACCTAATATAGAAATGTATCATTTTTTTTGGAACTGATCAAAAAAGAAAGTAAGTCACATAAATTGGGACAGAGGGAGTATACTTGTTCTATATAAAAAAAATCTATATATTTGTTCACTATTTTATATGCCAGATTATTCAAAAGATTGAAATGTAATTACTCCTTTTTTAATTATGCAGCTTAAATTCGAAATTTAACTTTAGTCTCTTCATTTCTTGCAGAAAGCAAAATTGATGGAAACCTAGTTGAAAGTGTTAAAATGTATTAGCTAGCAAGCTATCGAGGCATTAATGTAGGGAGTTCTATAAATAATAATTGTCTGTTCGATAATAATTTCTTCGTAGTTGGAGAAAATAAACGTTACTTGTACGTGTATGTTTAATTATTACTATAGACTCTTTTTTTTCTACTGTAATAGAAATGCATTGTATGATAATGAAACTATGTACTATATATGAAAGTATAATTGTCAGTTCAATTTGCTAGCTGTAGTTACGTCAAAAGTCAAAATTTACCAACGCTTTATATGAACTCAAATCGTTCTTTCTCGTGTTATAGTTATTACCAACAAATTAGACATATATAAAAAAACTATAGCTGGTATATTGTTTAATCATGGAGAAATAGAGTGATGGCGGAACAAGTGAGATTTGTACTTCCCCATCAATCGGTAGATTGATAGCTTGAATCCTGAAGAATAAATGAGAATATTATTGATTCTTATGTTTGAATCACACTAAAAAAAAATTTATGATTTTAAATTTATTTTAAGTTATTTTTAATATTGTCAAACACTATATTTTTGATATATTTTAAGTTATTTTTTTATTTTTTAAACATTTTTAAATGTAAAATACTAACTTAAAAATAGATTTAATCAACATTTAAGTCAATCCAAACATCCTCTCTAAACTCTTGACAGTTATGGGGCCTCCTAAATTATGGGTCATAACTGTCCTCAGTGGGATTAGCTTCTTAAACTGAAATATTGGACCGTGTATTGGGCCTAGATCAAGCTAATGGGTTGGAGTTATACCGTAAACGTTTGATAGATGTATAAAAATAACGTCAAATAGAGTGTATTAATAATACTGTATTAATTATATATAGATTATTTCTTATGCATTGTTTGATTTGGTGAATTAAAAATAACATGCATTGCATAAAAATATTTATTTACAAAAATACCCTTCACGATTATGGTGAAAAAGATGTAAAAGAGATTTTGAGGGGCGATGAGGTCTTTAACCATGTAGTGTATGCATTAAAACTCACTGCAGTATTAAGACCTAGAAATTCATGATATAAGTAATACACACCTTAGTACACAATATTAGTCATACATAACATGCAAAAATGTACCAAACAAAATATTATGAATGCACAAAGTTAATGCATGCATTATTTTTACTAATACAACACTCTATCAAACGTCCCTTCTTATTCAACTTCAGTAAAAGTCTTTGCATACTCTACTAATAACTAGCTACTCTTTCCTTCTACTTTTAATTGTCATGTTGCGTTTTTCGAAAGTCAATTTGACTAATTTTTAAGGTTAAATTAGATTACATTAATTTGATATTTTAAATAAAAAATTTAGATATTCAAAAACTATACGGAAAATACTATAAATTACAAATTTTTACATATCAATATGATGAAAAACTACAACATAAAATGTTAGTCAAATTTCTTATAGTTTTACACTAAAAAGGAAAACTATGACAATTAAAAGTGGGTGAAGACAATATCAAATAAAGGCGTAAGAAATCAAAAAAAAAAAAAAAAGGAAAGAAATGTTTGTTACATAAAAATAAGAAAAATGGTAGACTCCGTTTGAAAGGATAAAAAACCGACAATTTATAAAACCGACATAAAAATAACAAAAATTCCCTTTACACAAACTCAAAATAGGCATTTCTCGCTCAAGTTTAAATGTTGAAATCCAAATTTAAGACTCAACAAAAACATCAACCTAGCTAGAAACTAAAATGGAAACCAAAAGGCCACTTTTTACATCAGGCAATTCAATTAGTTTAAAGTATAACTAATTGAACTTGCAAATAATTAGGTGTGTATATGCAAAGTGAAGCCTGGTATTTAAGTGGAGAAGAGTAGAGGGGCGGGTCTATTATCCACCGAGTTTAGAAGGCTGTGATTGGTCCAAAGAACGGGTCACAGACGAATTTCTCGGTTATCAAAAAAATAAATAATTAGGGGCGTATATGACTAGATTGGTTTGATTTTTTCAAATAACAAATCAAATTATTTGTGTCAAATTTTTAAACAAAATTAAACTATTAAGACTCAAGTTATTTCGGGTTTCCGGGTTTCTCCGGATTTCACGGACATATGATTAACTTGTGCTGTAAATATTTCTTTCGTCCTACCAAAAATAACTATCAAAGGTATTTCTTTTTTTAAAAAAACTCAAAATATGAGATGAGTAATGACACAAAAATATTCATTAATAAAAATAATAATGAAATCGCAAAAAATAAATATAGCAAATTAATAAGTCATAATGAAAATGATCATAATTTAAAAGTAATAAATCATGCTAAAGTAAGTCTAATAAGTATTAATTACATGATTAAACATTGGAGAATAATTAGAATTATGATATATATTTTAAATGTCTAAACCAATGTAAAATTAAAGAACAAATATTCAACATTATTATCTCTTTTTGTGTTGATTTTTTTTTTATGCTAGCATTAGTATTGATTTGATTTTGAATTAAGCTTTATAGAGTTACTAATATCTATGAACTAAAACATTTATCGGATTATTCAAAATTGTAAGTCTAAAAAAACTTGAAATAATTTATTAAAAGATAAAAATTATGAAAAGGTATAAGAAATTTTAGAAATTATATCAAAATTAATATTTTATGTATAAAATAAATTTTAGAAATTATATATATAATGTCAGCTTGATTTGGTATCGGGTCGACTTCTTTTTGGTTTAAACCAAACCAACTCATATATAGTCGGAGTTTTTTTTTCAATACCAAACCATTAGTCAAATTGTTTTTTTCGATTTAACTTAATTTCCGATTTAATGAGAGTTTCAATTCAATTTTGTACGCCCTACAAATAATTATATTTTTCACTCAAAGTTTTGTGTAATTTGTAATCGGAAAAGGGTCATATTTGCCCTTATATTCTCAAAAAAGGATTATATTTACCCTTCGTTATACTTTTTTGATATATTTGCCCTTGTCATCCAACTTAAGGTACATATTTGCCTTGAACAGTTAAGTCTCATATCTCCACTTTTGTCATCCTATGTGGCATCTACATGGTGCCTACACATATATTTATATTTACTCTACATTATTTTTTTATAAAATTTAATTATTATATCCAACTCAATATTATAATCAACCATTTAACCCATTAATCCCAACTCCTAATATTTATTTTATTGTCACTTTCGCCAAAAAAAAATAACAATTAGATTTGCTTAATTGAACCCCAAATCCCAAAATCTCAAATCTCCCCAAAACACACACATAGAGTTTGAATTTTTTGCTGAATTTTCAAGAATATCAAACAGAGCATAACGAAGAACAACAAATATACCCACCCCTCACCTCGAAATCCCCAAAAAACACACACCAAGATCAAATTTTTAGCTGAATCTTCAAGAATATTAAACATAGCACA